TCAAGACCACCGGCTTAGTGTTATTAAAGGTGGTGTTTTTGACTGCCAATTTAGGTTGTCAAAAATTGTTTGGTTCCTTAGGCGGCGGTTCAGACTGCCGGCTTTGTTCCTAATTGACCACCACCTTTAGTTTAGTCCAACATCATTTGCTTCCTTAGGCGGCGGTTTGGACCACCGCCATCTAAGTAGCTGCCGGCCTAGATCAAGACCGCTGCCTTAGGTACAAGAGCCGCCTTTGGTGGATGGTCTGGGGTGGTCCAAATTTCATTAACGTGGCGGTTTGTCAAGACCGCCGGCTTAGTGTTATTAAAGGTGGCATTTTTGACCGCCGGCTTAGGTTTTGTCAAAAATTGTTTGGTTCCTTGGGCGGCGGTTCGAACCACCGTCGCCTAAGTANTTATTAAAGGTGGCATTTTTGACCGCCGGCTTAGGTTTTGTCAAAAATTGTTTGGTTCCTTGGGCGGCGGTTCGAACCACCGTCGCCTAAGTAGCTGCTGGCCTAGATCAAGACCGCCACCTTAGGTCCAAGAGACCACCGCCTTTGGTGGCTGGTCCGGGGTGGTCCAAATTTCATTAACGCAATGGTTTGTCAAGACCACCGGCTTAGTGTTATTAAAGGTGGCGTTTTTTACCACCGGCTTAGGTTTTGTCAAAAATTGTTTGGTTCTTTAGGCGGCAGTTCAGACTGCCGGCTTTGTTCCTAATTGACCACCACCTTTAGTTTAGTTCAACATCATTTGCTTCCTTAGGCGGCTGTTCGGACCACCGGCTTGGATCTAAATGACCGCCGCCTTAGGCCTTGTTAATGGCTAATCTAACAGTTTCATGACCGCCAACTTAGATATATATACATTTTTTATGTTTACGCCAGGTTAATTCCGATAGTTGTTGGTACATACACTTTTTTATATCCAGTTGACATATAAAAATACAAGGACTTTAAAAAATTCAATTTATCGAATAAGGTTCACATCTTCAAAAGCAAATCCACTTAGCATAATTGATGAATCTGTAAATCAAAAACATATAAAGTAGTAAATGAGATAACGATAAAAAATGTATAAAAAACAGACGTTAATGTAATCAGATTGTAGCACATAAAAGCACATTAGGATGATTGGTCTAGATTTAATAGATAAAAAATGTAAAATATTTCAAATAATGAACCCAATCTACCCATTTAAAAGTGGTGCTATCTGTATCCTTGTGCTTATATGACC